GGTTCTCTCATTAGTATGTATTTCAAGAATCGAACAATTATATCAAATTCTTCAAAAGTTACCTCTCTTTTATGCTTGCCATCTCTTCTTTTTCCCAAGCATTAGCCATGGATTCATTAGGTCCAAGCTGCCTCGTCTTACTTTGCCTTGCTGATGTCTCAAATATTGGCGTACGTTCGGTTTTGGAAAGTGGAGTCTCGGGAATTTTCTCGCCGTCATTTGTATTTAAATGCTCGTCTACCGAAGTTTGAGGCCTTCCGAGTTTCTCAAATTCCGAATTCATTGATGATTTGATGCTACTTTCATCTGTATAAGGACTTGTTTTCTTTACATCCATCTTCTTCTTGTCATGGTCTTGTGAGCTTTGCTTTGATGTTTCCTCTGGCATTATAAAATGTGAGAGTACTAAAGTGAAGTTTAGATCGATACCAATTTATAAGAAAAACTAAATTGTGTTTCAGACTTAAAAATATTGCTCGACATGTATTTCTCTGGCAGAGAAGCTTGATTGTAGTTGAAAAAAAAAAAAAAATTATCTTACCCGGTAACTGAAATGTTGTATTACGCGGCGCAGGTTGAAACTCGTTATTTACTGGTTTAGTCCACATTTTGTTAGAGGGCTTATGTGGGCCGTTGCTCGTTCCATTGTAAATCGATCGAACGGCATAAGCGGCTGCTGCAACTGCAGTCGAGTATTCTTCGATTTCTCTATCATAATCATAGTCCCGACTCATTTGTTCTACAGAGCTTTCTCCTTAAGCCCTGATTTCTCTTTTACTCTGCCAAAAGAAATTTGTTGAATAATCTTGTTTACCTTGTCTCCTCTCTCTCTTTATTCCTGTGGTCATGTGACAGAAAACATAAGTAGAAATAACAAATGAAGAAATGTACATGAACAAGTAATTTTAGGCAAAGTTAATTAACTAATTTTATGTAGAAAGGACTTCCAAGAGTTCTTTATCTCTTTTACCTTGTTTGGTTCAATCAAGCTCTACATTGTTTTCAAAAGGAAGTTAATTACTTAAGGCTCTTGGAGTAGATTTGAATGGGAAAAAGTAATATTGGAGCCTGGAGGTAAATTAACTGGTGTAAGAGTTTATGAAAAAAGGCTATGAATTTGGTGTGGAAGACAAGAAAGGCTTTGGGATATACTTTGCATGAAGTTTTTTGCTTCTGCATCTTTGAAATGCCTGGGAAAGGAACTATACTTTTCTTTATCTTAATGCTCACTTTTCAGTTGAATATTTTATCCATTCTTGTTAAAATAGTATGATGTACTCGCGTTAAGTAGACCATATATAGCAGAGTGGGCTAGTTTTATGTTCGGCCCAGTAAATGGACATCTGTCCAAAATATGGGCCCAGTAAGAATTGGCCAGTTCTTGATATTTTACATGTTTAAGAAGTTATCCATCTTTAACTGTCCACGGGGTGGCCAGGGTCGACCCGGACCCGTATTATCATATTAATTAAAAATGATATTAATTGTTAGATTTTGTAAAGATATTTATACATTAGTAAAGATTTTTATTATATAATTAAAACAATGAAGCAATAAGTACGAAGACAGATAAATCAATGATACAATTGATTTTGATTTATAAGAAAATCAAACAAATTATCATAAAATTATCACGTCTACAAAATTATGATACGTACAATTTTGAATCATTTAAAAAGACATTTGTATTTTGACATATGTGAAAGTGACACTGAAAATCGGGAATGTCTGTATTAATATATACATATGTGATGATATATTGATATGTGTGGAGAAATGAAATGTATTTCAAATATTTGTTATGTTCATAATTTCAAATCAAATCCCACGCCACACAGTGAGTGAAAAACTGGATATGATCACATTTATTGTTATTAATTATTATCACAGGGAAAATATCCGTTGGCCCCCTTCACATAGTTCATAATGACCCAATTGAACCTAAAATCATCCCAAATAGTGGAAGAATTAATGAGATTCATGGGACTTTCTTGACTCACCACCCACCTCTAACTTTATAAAGAAAGGCACGATTTATTTTGAAAAGTTATGAAATATGATATACTTAATTTATATATAATTGAAAACTGAATGTTGTGAAAAATCATGATCTCGTCCGTATACATAGATAAAAAATAAAAGGAAAGCCTTTTCGGAAATAAATAAAAAAAAAAAGAATAAAATAAATGTTTACCTCTTTTTACTTGTCATATATAGAATTATAAATAAAATTCATAAATGAGACAAAAAGAATAATAAATAAATAAATAAATAAATAAATGAAGAATAAAAAAATGTTTACCAGTTTTGACTTGTTACAAAATTATAAAATAATGAGATCAAAATATATGAGGTATGCCTGGTATAAACTCTTGAAGAGTTTATAGTTGATTGTCCCAAACAAAGGAAGAAGGTTGTGTTAGGTTGACGGCCAGCATAAAACTTTGCTACTCTCATGAGTATAGATCACATAAGAAATCATGCAAATCTGCTTTGATTGAACAGGATGACGACATGTAATCCATATAGTCGATCCCACTTAGTGAGATTTTAACGGCTTGTTGATTGATTGATTGAGATAAAAAGATCTAAGGTCAGGTGTTATGTTAGGTTGGTTTGTCATATGTATATATATACACTTTCATAATCAAATATCTTACATGCAAAAATGATTTAAATAAAAGTATGACAATTCGTAGTATAAGCATACATTTTTCTGTAAGAAAATAGATGTTCTAACAATTAGACAACCTAACCATATCATGTATTAGTTACAAATTTTTATATCTCTTTTACTTAGAGCTTTAAACTAGTTGTAACAATATCATGTATTAGTTGCAAAATTTTATTTCTCTTCTATTTAGAGCTTTAAACTAGCTGAGGCAAGCTTAAACTCATGATACTCGAGTTCGGACTCGAACTCTTATCAAGTTGAGCTCGTTTAATTAAAAAATCGATAAACGGGCTCGAGTTCGGCTCATTAATGATTAATGTACGAAGAATTAAAATTTTAAAAATTATGTAAAAATCCCTATTTATTATCAAGTCTTGACATATTGAGCCGAGCTCGACTCGTTAACTAAATGAGCTCGAGCTCGAATCTTAATAAGCCTAACTTATGAACGACTCATTTCGTTTAATAGCTATACTTCTATACATAGTGACAAAACCTTTGTACTTAGTCGACAATCTTGTGATCTCAGTTCCATAGCTAGAAAAATAACAGTACATAGAAATAATAACAATAATTTTCCCAAGAACAAGCTTCACGAAATTACAATCTACTAAAAAAAAAAANTCAAACTATTATTAAAAAAAAAAAAACATGTATAATTGACTTATAAGCTAGTTATGAAGAGGGTTTGGGCCAGAAGGAACTAATCTTTTCTCAACACCATATCTTGGATCAATCTCACGGTCGCCGGGCACCGGCGGCTGTGGCGGCGGCCGGGCAGGGATTGGGCGGCAAAGGTGGCGGCGACTCCATTGGTGCGGCATTTTCCGATGGGGCCCGGAAATATTGGATGAACGGGTCGGGTCGGGTGAGATTATTATGATGAAGAGTAGAAAGAGTAGAGCAAAAGTTTTGATTCTTGAAAATATGGTGTTTTGATCATGTGTAATGGTGAGAGAGAGAAAGTTCATGTTGTGTTGTGATGTTTGTTTGAGTTTTGAGACAATGAAAAAAGAAAAGAGATATTTGGTGTAGTGGTGGAGTAGGGTTGGGTGCAATTTGGGTAATTATGAAAATAAATAAATAAATAAATAAGGAATAGAGAGCTCTAGTGTATATGTGTACTTTTATATGGAATGAGGTGAGATATATAGTGGAGTATGGTGTTTTTGGGTACAAAGAGATGTATCTTAATAAGAGTATAGTTTTGTTATAATTCATTTGAATAATATAGTGTTTGCCTACAAATATTGTTGTTAGGCTAGACCAATATATTTTTCTTATGAAAATTGCAAATTGTATTATAGTATGACATTTGATCACTATGATCAGTATGAATGTATATGCACTTGTCGAAAGAATATTGGCTGTCAAATCGTTAGGCAACCTAACAGAAGAGATACATTAGTTTGTAATGTTGGATTATATGAGGAAATCCAAAATTATTTATTTTTTATGTTTTCTATTCCAATTTTGGGAATTTTTTTTAGTCATTATCACTGCTAAAACCCATCAAATTCAAACGATAATATATTAACGGAATTTCGACGACAATACATTTCAATAGAATTTTAATGACAGTTTTAATGTATATTTTAATATTATAACATCCTTTGGTTTTTCCTTTGGAGCTTCTATACTTTGACTTCCAATTACAGTTTTTCTAATGGTGGCTGAAAAAATAATTGTAAAAAAAGTTGTACTCAATAAAAATTCTCACAAAGATAAGACGTGGTAATATTTTTTTTCATTGGATCTTTATTGGAATTTTCCAACAAAATGTTCTAATATTAGAATATCTGTAGAATTTCATGTTGTTTTCTTTTCCATTGAATCTTCTGNTTAAATTTAATTTTACGCTACATATGATTGTAAATCATACACTCATACACATTTCAGTTTATTAGGACATGCTTATCAAATTGCACCATATACTCTAGAACATGATAGTATAGACTCTTGGGGGTTGAGTGGTCATAATTATTATGAGTTAGGATTTACTTGAGATGAAAGATTGAGAGGCAATCATTTGAACAAAGACAATTTTCACTTAGTGGTAAGATCCATATACTTTTAATGATTGATTGAATGAAATTTTGTGAGATTACTCTAGCTTTTGAAAAAAATCTTGTTTGTATAGCAATGACAACTATCTATTTTTATGCTACTCTTTCTTGATATAAAGTTATTATATTGGGCTCAACTCTTATTTGATTGTGATTTGTGATTAAAGTGAAAGTCTAATTTCTTGGTTTATCTTTGGGTCTAAAAGAGCCCACAATGCTCAAAATGGGTTTAGTTTAATTGTATAAATCCGGCCCAATCTAAAATCTACAAGATTGGGCTTTGAATAGAAATCTCCCGGGCATGCCATGTATAAATATAATTGTTCTGGCATATCATTTTCCATTCTTCACCAAAGATGATAATTAATAATAATTATCCAAGGCTAATTTTTGTTTCTTTTTCCAACCTTAATTTCATTTTTAGGTATGATAATGGATATATAAATGGTAATGAAATATAATGTTAATTTTGCCCAATCCAGAGTTGATACAATAGTTTGACGGTTATCAATATTAATATAGTAACAGTTAGTTATTTAAAAAACGTTCATTTCGAAAAGTAGTGTAATAAAAAATATTATTAAAATTGGTACACTAACTTGTCTGGTGGGGATTTTTTTTCTATATAATCATAGTAAATTAATAAAACATGTTTAATGAACGTGAAATTAATGTATAACATTTACAATCTCGCAACCACATATTAAAGATCAATTGTACTAAAACGAGGGGTAGTTTGGTCTGATCATGATAGTGAAAAGTATCAAAGGGATATTAATTAGTTCACGTTATACGTACCCCACTAATCAACGGTTACTGATGATTATAAGCCGCTAATTTCGTGTCGGCTGATGCTTGTCCACCGTCCGATTACATTCTTGCGTGATGATGGCAATAGAAAATTAAAGTAGTTGATTATGTTGGAAAAGTTGTCCCTAAAATTTATTTACCCGCTGAAAAATCATCAAATACCAAGCAAAAAATTCAAGCACCT